ACTGGTAATTGCTTAACCAGTTCACTAGTGCAAAACGAAGCAGCATTACATGTTCATCTGAAAAAATGAAGGATTCATCGTTGAAAAAATTAGTACTATTTTGTGTCTTGAGATGACGTATATACTCGTCGCAACCAGTTAACGTTAAACTATTAAAAATTCTCTTCATTTTTTAATTAACAAATCTACCATAATTTGATCAACATCTTTCAAGAAAATAAAAAGAAACAAAAAAGGGACACATTCCAACACGCAAGGTCCGTTTTTCAGACGGGACATCAAACAGGTCGGTTAGGGTGGACGGCAACAATTCGATTATCCATCGTTCCCTCGCGGAGCGAATTAACGAACCGGCCGGTGGCTGGGATACAAATATTTGCGGACGGTAGTAGCGAGGGATGACCCGGGCCTGGCCGGAAAATCGGTTTGACCGTTCGGCGAAACGCCGAGAAGCTAATTAAGTTCGCCGTGGATGCGAACGAATCGAGTGGAAAAGTCGAAACTGGGTTACTCGCGGAAACGGAACTCCGTTCGGTCGGCTAGTGTTCTTCGCTGGAAAATTTCACCGTGCACCGGAAGTCCGGTTTCCCGTAGGTCAATTCTTGAGTTTTCACGGCCAGAAAGTTCTGGGAACGATGTCACGGCCGTTCCTCATTGATACTTTTGGTATCCGTCGTACTGATGACCTTCGAAGTAAGCTTCTCGAGGGCGGTGAAGTCCATATTTTGGTTTGTGTTTTGGTTAACCCCTTGACTTACACTAAAATGTGAGACTCGTGGTGAAGATTTTAACACTAAAACTACGAAACGAGACAAAATAACCCATTCCTGATTTCTTCTTTTTGCAATTATTAAAAAGATAACAGACGTCTATCTGAGAAATGATTGAAGAAATTGATTTAGCAATATGTAAACTGAATTATAAATCGATGAAAGCTTCAATAGATTCACTTTTGGAGCTTCTATAGAGGAATTTCAAAAAGTCAATGTAACTGCTTGGTAGTTTTAATGTTACTTTTTGTTGTCAATTATTATATTTTAGAGCAAAGGACATAGAATATTCATAGAAGTTTTCTGTTTTTTTCGGTAAATTATTAATGACAAAATTGCATCGATCAAAAATGAAAAATAAATCGTAGGGTAAGGGGTTAAACAAACTAAAAAATCGAGACACTAGGAAAATGTAAATTAAAGTATTTTTCCACAGACCATCTCAAATATCCGCAACTAACAAGATCTAAAGAGGTCATCGAGAAATCCATCCGAATTGGTCCGAAACGAAATCAATCCTCAAACGGCAGGGAACGGGAAATGAAACGTTGATCGACATTAGAGTTAGTCCAAGCGAGATTCGATCGATCGAATTGGAAAATCCGTTCACCGGGCCAATTAACGTCTAATTTGAGCTAGCGAGCGAGCGAGCGAGCGGCTCGCGGATTCGGGACACGACTGGCCCGGTTTTCTCGTGATATTCGGGTTCCCGCGGTGAGCGGATGATTAACCCAGTTTTAGGAGAAGTAAGTTTTACCAGGTTAATAGCTTCCAGGCTGATAAGGGGGCTCGCGAGCCGCGCGTATTAATTTTTGCGACAGATCGGGATGATTAACGTTACCCCAGTTCCTCGTCAGAGTAATTTCTTGTTGCCGGACTCTTTTCCTTCTTAATTTAACGCGAATTTTTACGAGGTGACGCAAATGTCATGCCGAAAAAGGTTTCTCTCATTAACAGTCCGTGTTACTCCGTTGAAAAGGTCGAAGATGCGTTTTCGTATCTCTAAATATTCTAGTAGCTGCACCCTGGAAAATAGATTCTTTTAGATAAACGTTTTCAGTCGAATGAACCGTTTAATAATTGAATTTGAATTTTGTGTAATATTTGCAACGGAAGAATTTGTTCAATCAGTTAAAACTGGTATTTTCAAACTAGAATTCTTTTGTATACCTTTTTTTAGGTATGTATATTTATTTGACCCCCTCAACCATGAATTTTATTTAATATACGCGAGCGAAATTTCGGTTAAATAAATTCGTTTAATCTCTGCAAACTTGAATTTCGTATAGTCGAATGAAAAATATCGTTTCCTGTTACGTATTGATCGAGATCAAACATAATATTATACAAAGCTATCAAAATACAGCTATCCCTCGATTTACACGAGATTTTGAAACTAACAGATTAAAAAAAAATGTTAAAATCAAACATGTGTGCTACGCACATATTTCTATACTAAATCTTTGATTCCATTCGATTGGTAACTCTGGAATTAAATCTAGACAAGGGAATTTCCCTTTCTGTATACACACAAAAACCATTCGTGCGAATTAACGCAGTAAAACTCAGTAAATATTTTGGAGCAGAAAGGTGTGTATTGTGGTAGTATTTCTAATCGGAATTTTTGATAACGTCATATTTACTGGTTAGTAATAAACAGTTATAGTTTTTGTAGGATTTTCATAATTTACTTAAAATTGTATAAGCATGGTTTCATGGTTCAGCTTTTGATTTAATTTTTCATGGATTTTATATTTCTCGTTTCCATAAAAAGAATGATGTACTTATAAGTTTTATATATTTGTCATTTCAGGAATAAACTGATATTTCTGTTTTTAATGGCATTTTACTTTTATTTTACGTTGAAGTAAATGAATTTAATTAAATGAACTATCCACTATCCAGTTACATACTCTGAATTCTTACATTTTTGATCTTTATTTTTCCAAGGCCACAGTTTTAACGCCATCGAAATTTTCCAATTAGAGGCTCTAATAAATTACCTGGTCATCAATCTTACAGCCAACCATCACTAGGGCCACACCATTAATCTACCCTAAAAACCCTCTCACCCCATATTTCAACCCGTTCCACTCATATCGTCTATCTACAAACATCCACAAATTTTCAAATTGATTCATTGCTCCACGTTCTATCGATACAAACATTAAGCAATGAGAATCACCGATACACTATTATCCGAGTCGTACCTGTTCGCCCATATTAGGGTTCAATGACGTGTTCCCCGGTGACAGAATCTACAGGTCGGCTCTATTTTTCGCTGACGTCCGCTGGTTTTTCTATTCTTCGGCATGATCGGCGTGTTGAATAGTTAATCATTTATCGATCACGCCGATACGCGACCGATGCGAGAGAGAGAGAGAGAGAGCGAGCAGAAACAGAAGGAAGAGAGAAAAAGAGAGCAAGAATATTAAAAAGAGGGAAAGAGAATGTAGAAATAGTAAGAAAATAGAAAAAGAAGAGAGGATAGAAACAATAGAAAGAAGAAGGAGAGACCAGGAACAGCAAGAAGTTAAAAAGAGAGAACAAAAACAGCAAGAAGACAGAAAGAGAGCACAGAAATAGCAGGAAAAGAGAAAGAGCTGGGTGCAGAGAGCAATCGCCTCGAAAAGACTTAATTAGCATAGAATCAATTAGTTGCGATTAGCATACACTCGAATTAATTAGCACTAATTAACACCTCTCTCGTGGTGTGGCGACGTTCGACGCGTTGCCAGCCGCGAAAAAAAAAACCCCGTGTTTCGTGGTTTCCTTGTCGGCGGCTTTATCGTGGTTCCCTCGCGTTATTATCGATTGTTCGTGTACTCAGTGACGGTTAGGTTTGGTCTGAAGCGTTGACGAACTATAGAGAAACAGTGGAATTGCGATTGGATTCGAATTTCGTTTGGAATTCGATTTGTTAGCCATTTTTCGATGAAGACCATTATGTTTGCGATCGTTTTGTCTGGTTTTCGTTCAGTTTTTTAGCATGTTTAGAGTTTCAATTGATGCAGTTGTAGTTGTTCTTCACTAGACCGATTACAGATGGCTGGTACGTTGGCAGTGGCGTATGTTACCGCGTTTTTCTCGATGTATCGCCGCAGTGAACAATGGAATATAGTAGAATTGAATGGTTTCACTGATACTATACAGATTTCCACTTATTCTATGACGATTTTCAATAGTCCATTGATAAAAACAAATAGTATTCAACGTATTAAAAATAAGTTGAATGTAATTAAAAAATCTTCGTTTAATATAAGGTACAAACTTTCTAAAAATTCATTTATCAACTTCGAGTTGACTGTATAAAATTACTATTTATAAAAAAACAACAATAAAATAATAGTAAAACAATATCCGAAAAACTGAATAAAACGGATCCATCATTAACTTTTCATTCGTGAAATTCACCAGTATTCTTTGATTTCGTCGGTTATCCGAACTCACGGAACCACATCGATCCATTACGAAGAAAAAAAGAAGGGAAAAAGTCAACGGAGTCGGGTGTCGTTCGGCTCGTTTCGAACTTTAATCGCTGCGATATCGGATTCCCGAAAGGACGTTTGATGGAGCCATTAAAATACTTGAGCCAGCATCATCGCGTCGCGACTTATGAATTACCGCTGGATAGAATGTACGTGCGTGATATAATTGAGCCGCGCGACCAATAAACGCCGCTAATTCGTTCAATGCTTGCGGCGCGGTTCGAACGTTCTCGTCGAAAATGCGGCCGGAACCGTTGCATTCAACGCCTGCACTTCGCGCGCTGTTCTTTCATCCTGCGCTCTCCACCCTGGAACGCTATGCTTCACGGCTCGTCAACAGCCGTGGAATAAACCGTGAAAATAATTTGCTAATTGACGCTGCCCCTGGACGATCGTTAATTGGAGGACGCGCGTCGCTGTGGGAATTTCACACGCTTTTGCCTTTTTCTCTTGGTTGTTGCTTGTTTGGGAATTTTGTGGTTTGGTTTGGTTTTGTGTATGATTGTGTTTATTAATATTAGAGTACAGTTGGGATGCTTGAATTTGAATATATTTGAATGAATAATGTTTAAATTTAGATAGTTGGTTCAAACAGCTGATATGGATGTTGCAGTCTGATGAATATGTTAATGATTAATTCATTACTGTGAATAGAGGTACCTATGTAAGGTTTTGTGATATTTTTTAATGAAGCATTGTTGGTTATTTATTGTATAAAACGTGTTTTATTTTATTTTTGCAGGGGGTGAATAATCAACGAGTTGAAACTATTTGGGATACTATTAGAAGAGTCTCGGGAGGACTGAATGCTTCAGTGGTCGAAGTAAGTGTAATTAAACTGATGAAAAGAGGAAGTAAATAATAAGAGAAGTAATATCATTGAAGAAACTGAAGTTTTAACTGATTCTTATAAGTTTCTGAAATATCGTTGTCTCAGAAGGGAAAGAAGATATGTTTTATAAGTTGTTCCTTCTCAAAATATAAACACAGTAATACCGAAGTCAACGGCCAAGAAAAGACACTTTAAACGTTGAACTACGAACGTACGACGTACGTTATTTCGTCTTTCAACTGCAAAACCAACATCTTTTCTAAAAGATGTCGAATCTTCCTTGAAAGTACTTACCTTCCGCGTGAACTCTATATACGAACTCTGTCTTCCTAGTGTGTTTATCGAAACGAAGTTCCATCACCATTGAAAATATTTTTAAACAAAAGAATCGTATAATTTCTGTGTACTTTTCGGCGGTAAGCTTCCTTTCACAAACTTTAGTAATCCATTATTTAAAATAAAAAAATAATTTCCATTATTTTCATTGCTCAAATCGTTTATCACTTTAAACAATTAATTCTCCACATATTTTCTCACTCAAGAAAAAAGAATAAAATAGAAAGCAAACAGTACTCAACATTTTATATTCTTCACACATTTCCTCACTCAAAAAAATATGAAATAGAATACATACAACACTCGACATTTTATATTCTCCACACTCGAAAATTTCCCCACTTAAAAGCTATAAAATGGAATACAAACGACACTCAACATTTTATATTCTCCACGCACAAAAACTTCCTCACTCGCAAACTATAAAATAGAATACAAACAACACTAAATATTTTATATTGTCTACACATTTTTCCACTCAAAAAAAGACAGAAAGCAAACAATACTCACCATTTTATATTTTCCACATGTTTTCTGGCTCAAAATGGAAAAATAAAATCCAAACAGTGCTCAACATTTCCGCGGTCATCGTTCACCATCAAACCCAAATTCCATTCGTAAAACGTCTCGTTACCAACCGCCTCGTTTTCGAAACATCGAGTTGATAGAACAACATTTCAAGCGAATAACAACGTTGTGTACGTAGCCTCTCTCTCTCCCTCTCTCCTTCTCTCTGTACACCGGACGTTTAAAAAAAGATTCCGCGACCATGTGCGCCAGTTGGATGCGTTATGTCATCGAGGCCAAAGATACTAGCGGCGCGTTTTCCGCCGCGATTCGCGCGACCCTCGAGAAGAAGGGAAAAAAAGCAGAGCGAAAAAACACACGTTCACGCACGCACGCATGCACGCGAAAATAAACCGACCAACCAGACCTAACATCCGCGCGGAAAGTTTTTCCGTTGCCCGGGACTTTGTAAACCGCGATACGCGGACCGCGACCGTAAATTCCGTTTATTTCGAGTTGAAGCACGCGTACAACACGCTGGTCGTTGATTTACACGCGTTTTCTGCTGATTTGTGGGCCTCGGTGAATTACTCTCGATGCAAATCGCAAAATTTTCAAGCTGACGAGAATAATCGTCGCTAAATCTTGGAGCTTTTTTGATCTGTAACGAGATGCAGACGTTTCTTGGTTGTAGCGGTCTTCTGTTGCGTTCGTTCCATATTGTAAAGGATAATTTTGCAATGGAACGTAATGTAGTATGATTTTAGGGGAATTTTGGAAGATAGTTCTTGAAGAATTGTTTGGTCTTTTTTGTTTATTGTGGATGAAGCACAATCGTTAAAGTTGAAAGAAATGTGAATGAAACATATTTGCTTTAGTTGAATATTTTGAGAAACAGTTGAGTTGAGATAATAGTATGAAAGGCAAAATTGTAAATTTTTTTTAGGGAGAATATAATGTTGCAAGTAAACTGTAGAAGGAAATCCTTGTTTTTAGGTTACAGAAAATTGATTTGTTTAAATAACTTGTGAAGTAATATTTGAGTATTTCATGTCTGAACAATAATTAGGACACGGTGATACGCAAGAATAATTCCCTAGAGTTTTAAAAAATTCATCCGTTAAGTTCAGAAAAGTTTTGCGGCGTATATGATTGTTTCCACGGCGGACCATAGCTTCCGCAAAGCGTGGTGGCGTGACGGTCTCGCATGAACTCCAGGCGGCTAGCTTGAAAAATTCATAAATATCATCGTTAACATCTGGCCGTGACACCTTCGAGCTCGTTCGTCTCTCGGCCGTCTTTCGCCCCGTTTTTACTCGTTTCATTCGCCCGCCGGCCGCGCGCCCCTCACATTTTTCCCGGCGGCAGCCGACCGTCCGTGCATCCTCCTCCCGCCGAAAGAAAATGAGAGATTACAATGAAGGGTTTACGTTCGCGACAGCAGGCGCGACGCTCCCTGTGACGTAAGATGAAATTTCTTAGCGCAATTTAGCGTGATGGAATGGCTGCGATGCTTCTGTTTGCTTTTTTCGGGACTGTGGACCAGAGATTATGTGTGTGATGTATGGGAACAGAAGATTGAAACGAGAAATCTCAAAAGTTACCTTCTGCCGATCTTTTGGGAGGAGAAGTGGGATCTTTCAGGTAATTAATACAATTGGATAATTGGTTTTAAATTTGAGAAGAATGTAATTAGTATTAATGCTATAAATTGGAATCTGTATTTATAGTTGAAGATTTGTATGTTCCGAATTTGAAAGATTGAAGTGGAATTAATAGTGCAAATAAAAGTATGGGATGGTAATATGTATCTATAGTAATAACAAATTTGCATCTTTCAGTTTATAATTTTTGCAACTTCTAATCTCGAATTAATTCTGTATCTGGTATTGTGAAAAATTGTGGTCTATATTTTCTAAGTTTAGCACTGGTTCCACAAATTTGGAAATTTAGTTTTCACGAAAACAATACCTTGAACTAAGATATCCTATTTCCCATTCTCAATTTACTTCAGCATCGAAAATTACTCCCTCGCATCCAAGACACCCGGTACATAATGCATGCAGTAATACCTCGCGTTACACCCACTTAAATCTATTCGAAGATTAAAGGGGGATCCCCGTCGCGTTTAATCAACACTAGCGCCGCGTCGCCCAATCATGGGTACAATGATAGCGCTTCAAAGTGACATTGAACGCCGCTGGAACAGACGTCGCGCGCGCGGCTGTCCTCCTCGCTGGAGGAGAGGGCGATGAATAATATTTAATGAGGAGACCGTTGGCCACCGGTACGCGCACGCCGGATCCCCGAGAGGCCTGAATACGCTTAGGGAAATTAGTCCCGAGGAGAAATGGCCGGCTGCCTGTGACTGCCAGCGTACAGGGTGTATCGGAACATGGAGATGGACCTAAAGCAAAGTATCAATAAAAGAATTTCGTGTAAATGTGTTTTCTAATTGATCTTGCTGCAAAGTTACAATAATTTTTGGCGTTTTAATGATTTGGAACTTATTTGGAGAGTTCAAATTTCATAAAAGGTCTAAAAACTAAGGTAAATTAGTGAAAGAGTTTTATTCATCGTTGCTCAATTTTACTATAGTTGCCTTTACGGATTTGTTTCTGAAGATATTCAGCGTTGTTAATGTCTAATCTGTCTTTTGAAATAGATTTGGAAGTAATTGTTTCGAATGCATCGTTTATGAGAGATTTTAGCTAGTGAACAAATTGTGTCGGGCTAGTCTTTTTGTTCACTATACTTCTAAACTCCCAATGAGTTTCTTTCTATCTATCTATCTACAAACCAAATATTGTTAATAATATTAGAACCTAATGATCAGTTCGTGAACCTCTTCATCATATATCAAACACCTAGAATTCTTGAGAGTAGACGTCTTCCTTTTACCTTTGTGTACTTTCAGCTTGTGAGTAATCGGTACAAATGTGATTGGTGGACATACCTGTTTCTTGAAACCAGGTTAGGTACTGTGGGTTATTCACGAGATGAGTCCCGTCACAGGGGTAGAAACGGTATCTCGCCAGGGATTTTGTTTACGGTTTTGATTGGTTACGTGTAACCGTATTGACGAACAACAAATTGGTACCGAAAATGAGGCGAGGAAAAATGAAAACTGACTAATGAAACCCGTATTCCTGCTAGGGTTCATCTCGTAAAAAATGCGGAGTATTGTGCAGCTCTCACGTCCTGAGTCAATCCTAAAAGCTAAAAGTGCATAGAGACAAGGGGAATCGGTCGCACGCTCCACTTCGGCCCTTCCAGGAAACATAGTAGCTGAGCCACCGCTGTCTAGAAACGAAATTCGACGCCAATATTCGTTACATCTTACTCTGTCGCATTCTGTTCCGTCTGTTGTCTTCATCACGCGACTCGGACAATAGCATCAATTGTTCTACAGCTATTTACGCGAGCATCCTGAGTAGAAGAGTCTCCTTGCCCCTGTGACTTTTTATCTTTCTATATTGACTCAGACGTGAGAGTTGCTCAGTAGTTAGGATCAGTGAAGCCAGAAAGCAACCAAACAGTTGTGTTTCCCCCACTCCGTCTTACCCCTTCTACTAACCCATTCCTCATCAGCGGGCATCCTCCAACAATCTCCGTAACCACCGCATCACCCAGTTGTAACGCCAGGGAGAGAGTAAACTGTATTCCCCTCAGTTTCCCCATTCTGGCCACACTAGTTAGGGTACACGTTAATATGAACTTTTTCCATTGTTTTCATATTCCCCGTTTATTCCTGAAGTGGGTCCCACGTGTTCAGTTACACCGTGTACATTCTGCTGGCTGCGACAGGACTACGTAGAAGCGGTGCACCGTGACCGTACTGTTACCGAGCCCGCTACTGTAAATCAACCTTTAGTATCGTCGACTCCATTGACCCTAATAAAAACAATTGCGACGCGACGCCCCGATGAAATTGATCGGCGAAACGGCTGGCCCCGTGTAATCATTCGCTGTTAATAAACGAACGCGGAAAAACATCTCCGTGACCTCCCGCTGGTTTCTCCAGCCAGTCTTGTTCACCGTCTTGTTTAATTCTGTTCTTGAACTTGTACTCTCCTTTTTGCTTTTGCTTTGTTGTTTGACTCATTAGTTTCTTGTTTCGCTTACTTGATATAGGTATGGATCGGCGC